TTGGTGATTCTCTGAGCAGAATAAATGTATAAGCTGATACTCGGCGAGTGGGAACGTCCTGAATCCTATGGTGGCTGTGTTCATCACAGCTTTGCTGACTGGTGCTGCTGCAGTAGAAGCAGTGAAACTTCAGTTTGTACGTACTATATTTAACACTAAGCACAATGCTATTCTTTGCAGGCTGGGTAGGAAATGATAGGCGTGTCCTCCAGCAGTGATCCTGCATTGAAAACTCATGCAGAAAGGTCTGGGTCACCAGCTTATCTCCCACCCGGGTCCGTGGGACCGGTGCTTCTAGGCTGCAGTGCTTCCTGCTGTAGAGATGGTAGTGTGCATTGCATATAAATTATTGCAGACTTCCCGTTCTCAAATATTGATGGTTTATGCTGACAGAGATCAAAATTGGCTTGGGAGTTACAGCAGAGTTTCTGGCTCAGTTTTGCTGTTGAGAGTTGGAAGGGCTGGCACGTTACCTGTACTTTGCTTCTGTGTGTTTTGTGACTTCCAACGGCTGGCATGGCTGAAAGCAATCAAATGTAGGTCAGTGGGTTCAGCTGGGAGAGCGCGCCGTGCTCGGTCTGAACACGTAAGCTGTGGTCTCATGGCTTCGTTCGTTAGGCCTAGCAGTGGGGAGTTCTTAATTATTGAAACAAAAAGTAACCCGGCTTAGTTCCTGCATTCAGTGAGTCACAGAAGCTGTGAAGGCAGAGAGCTTCTGCTCTCTTCTTGAGCTCCTACTGCATTCACTGGCTGGATCTTCTCATGACCTCAGAGCCCTGAAACGCACTGCTTTGGCAAAGTTGGTGCTCTTTCTGTAGCAGAGAAGACAAATCCACTCGCCTTTGTTTGTGTATTAGCTTTCTTGTCAGTCTGGTGGGTATAAATGAGCCAGGGTAAGTGTGAACTTGAATTTTGTTTGTATGTCACTTGAGGATAGCGTTACCATTATAGCAAGCAGTGACGAATCTTCTGTTTCATAAATGGAAGCAGTGGACAGGAAAGCAGATTTGCGTACCCTGTTTATTTTGGTGCCAACAAATATAGCATAAGCAGGCTGAGACACACAGAAAAAACCAATTCAATCAAATGTCATCAAACTTCACCACACTCAGTGCACGTGCTTGGCTCTTCAGAGTAGAATTGCAATGAATTGCTGATTTATTTTTTCTTTTTGCTGAAGTCTTGCTGTGAATTCAGGTGTGACACCCAATGGGATTTGCTGGGGAGATGTGGCAGCTTCAGTGATGAGAGCCCTCTGTCTGCACCATGCCTAGGTGGAGCGTGTCAGCAAGTGAAGGATGTCATGGCAGGGAATTAGATCAGCCCATGCAAATGACTGACAGCGAGAGATTATTCCTGCATGGGAACAGCTCTGAAGGAAGTGCTATTTCTTGCTAGAGCTTTGTTTCCTTTATTCCTTACTACCTTGTGAATAAAAACCTTATTGTCTGTTTAGTCCCTCGGTATGCATAAAACATCACTGAAATAGGTCCTTTGTTCATTTTCTTTTGTTTTGTTTGTGGGAGCCCTGTGTAAGGTTTGGCCTCTGTTTCTTCTGGAAGAAGTAACTGCTTGTTGCAGCTGTACGTGGTTTCACTGACTGGAGCAGCAGTGTAGGTGGTGTCAGCAGGAAGCTTTGCTTGTCTCTCCAAGCAGGGATGTGTTTTCCATTGCTGTTGCAGCTGTGCTTGCATGTGACTCCAGGGAGGAATGTGCTGAGGTGAGTGCCTGTCCCCTTGCCACCATTCTCTCTTTATGGCCACCGCAGGTTTTCCTGTTCAACATGCTCTGCCAGCACCGAGTGTTGCAGATTTCACCAGGCAAAACTTGAATGAATGCTTACAGGTGAGGTGAAGGCAGGAGGAGAGGATGAGAAGGCTTCATAACTGGTTCTGCCTTGGCTTCTGCCCTCATCTTATCTGACAAGATGCTTGCACCAAGGTGAGACAGAGCGTTAGTCTGGGATCTCAAGGTTAGTGTATTTAGTGTGAGTGTAGCCTTGCTGCACCTGAAATTGGTGGCTGTCATGCTTTGAGCAGGTTTTTTTGCATCCTGTTTCCATCCTGCTCTAAGGAATGTGCTTTGAGAGGGGCAAGCTGCACAAAGTCTCTGGGGTTCTGTAACTGGATTGATGCTTAGACATTAACAGTGATAGATTTAAGTGCAGAGAGCAGCTGTTGCTTGATATCCATGACCTGCTGTCTACATCCATTTTACTGGAAAGTGCTCCTTGCTCTGGTTATCTCCTGAACTTTGCCCAAACCCTGATACGGAGTGTGGCAGCTCTCAGATCAAGCTCGTAAGATCAAATCTGTGCCACAAGCACCGAGTCCACTGGTTGCAGCTTTCACCTTCCCCTTTGGACGTGGTGGCCATCATACATTGCATCCAGAGGTTGCTAGGAACCAGGTTGTTCTGGGCTCCTGTAGATACAGCTTCACTTCAGTAAGAGATCTTTCCCTTCAGACAATAGTGAGGCACCTCTGATAGATGTTTTTAGCTCATAAATCTTAGTTCTTCCCCTTGCAGTGTCATTGTCCTTAGGTCAAGGGAACACTGTGTTTAGTTGCTAGCTTTCTGTTTGCTGGGCACTATTTGGTCAAGCATTGGCTCAGCTGCCCAGGAGGTGGGGGGGTCGCCGTCCCTGGAGGTGTTCCAGAACTGTGGGGATGTGGCACTGAAGGGTGTGGGCATGGTGGGATGGGCTGGGGTTGGATTTGGTGATCTGAGACCTTTTTGAACTGGAATGATTCTATAATTTAAATGAATGCATTGGATGAAGTCAGGGAGTGAAGTCTGAGATGTGTAAAGCTCCTGCTAAGTCGCCGTCCCTTGTGTTATTGAATGTGGCAGTGACATTTTATAATATCCCCATGTGCATCTGTTGGGACATTGACTACAGCAGTGTGCTGTGCATAATGACAAGGCCAGGGACCTCTCTGTTGGAGGGGAGCAGACCTCATGTTCTGCTTCTGAAGAAGGTTAATTATTTTAATGAGGTGACGAGGCAGTGGAGGATTGGAAGGTTATGGTTGCTTCATAGCACAGCATAAAGGTGTATGGAAAACAGTTCACAGCACCTCTATCCTCCATCACTTGATGTTTTTCCCTTGAATTTTGCACTCAGGTGCTCTTAAAGAGTTTCTTACAGCAACGTTGACTTTTGTTATGATCTCCAGAATTACCGTGTAGGTGTTAGCTTATGTTTATCTATATACCTCTGATTTTAGAGTAGAGAGAGAAGGTTTTGGTGCTCTCAAAGGCTGTAGTCTTGACCTAGTTTTAATATTCAGGCTTGAAACTGATGCACAGAGGAAGCTTGCCTGCTTGCAACTTGTCTGCCTGTTTGAAGGGAAGCGAGAGCACTTCAAAGAGAATTTCAAGTTAGGAAAGTGTCTGTCGTTGATTCTCATAGCTCTGAATTGTGTGATGCTGAACTTGGCTGCCTGTGTCTGAACTGCCCAGTGGTTTTGGCCAGAACAAGAGCCAGATTGCTCTGAATGCTCCACCAAGGCAACTGCAGGTGGGAAACAGCAGCACTGAGCGAAGATCCCCTCTTCCTAAAAACTACAAAGATGTGAATGAATTCAGAGACTGGGGCCTTTTTCAGATCAGAGGTCTGGCTGGGTAACAGAATCACAGAATTGTATCACAGAATTGTAGGGGTTGGAAGGGACCTCCAGAGCTCATCGTGTCCAACCCCCCTGCCAAAGCAGGTTCCCTACAGCAGGTCGCACAGGTCGGCATCCAGGCAGGTCTTGAACATCTCCAGAGAAGGAGACTCCACCACCTCCCTGGTGGGAGGTGGCCTTTTAATCATTTTGGGGTGTTGTAAGCCATTTGGGTAGATTTATCACCTGAATGAATATTCAGCTGGTTCCACTAATCTCCAGGTCAAGGCTGGTTTTCATTAATTTATTTCATAGAATCGTGGAGGTTGGAAAAGACTTCTAAGATCATCAAGTCCAACTGTCAACCCATTCCTGCTGTACCCACCAACCACAGGCCTCAGTTCAGCTACTTATTTGTTTGTAATCTGTGACAGCGTTTGACAGCACAACAAATGCAGGCATCTAGATTGGAAGAATTAGGTCACACTGAAATTGCTGTCTTGCAGAATCACAGAATGGCCCGAGTTGGATGGGATCTCAAGGATCATGAAGCTCCAACCCCCTGCCACACGCAGGGCCACCAACCTCCCCATTTCATAGCAGCCCAGGCTGCCCAGG